ATCCTGCAAATACTGAGGTAACTGTATACATTTAGTTCATGTAAACTGCAGAGTTTAAAGGCTGACTACTATACCCTTGTGCAAAATGTTCTGATGTACAAAGATGCATGTGCATGGTCCCCTCTGTCAATACTTTTTAGATTGTTCCAGATTAGTGGTGCCCACAACCCCACAAACAAGACTCTCTGCACAAGAAATTCTTGAGGGAGATGTGATTTTGATATGTATATACTCTATAAAGCACCTTGGAATGAAAGGTTCTATATACATTTAAGATTTTCTCCCCTGTATCTATATAAGGTACAAAAATATTCATATAGAAATTGTATTATATATTCTTTAAAAGCATTAACATTTGATGTGTATCATGGGCCAGATTTTCAAAAACTAGACTTCATTTTTGAGAGAGAACAGTTAATTACTGAGGTGACTGAATTTATTTGAACCATAATTTAGGATACTTGTATATGAGAGGAGTTCCTAATCAGGGATTTTAAACATATAAGTTATTGAAATTGTGAGTACAAACAATTGGAGGTACAATAATGGTTAAGGCTGCACTGAAATTTGGTGCAGTCTTTCCTGCAGATTAACAGGTAAGAAACAATAAAGAAATCAAGCTTTGAATACTTAAAATAAAAAGGACAACATTTCAGACAAGCAAGAAATCTTCCTTTAGGTGAAGAATTCCAGGTAGTGCAAAGAATTAATTAGAAAAAAGCTAAAACGTAAAAGTTAATCACAACAGAGTGAGTGGAAGAAAAAGCATAACTGAACTTGCCACTAACCGTGCTTCCTTCCATACTGTGTAATAAATATGTAAAAAGAGAGAATTCTAGATTTAAAGATCAACAGTTACATTATACAGGTTCTTCTCCTATAGTATGTGTTATAAAAACACCAGTGTGAGGGTTTTTTGTTTGTTTGTTGTTTTGCTTTGTTTACTTCCTCCCTCGGGGGAAAAAATGTGTGTGGTAACAAGACAAATAATGATCACAACTAGACTTGATTATTTAAAACCATCTTTAAAACAACAGAGATACAAAGCTTACAGTAATGTGCATGCCAAGGCTTAAAATACATAAAAATACATATTAACCTTTTCAATGCTTTATTATTTGTGACAAGTTTGGTGGAAGGGCACTTCTCTGCCTCTGTACATACACATCCTGTAGCTTGAACACTCATTAAAAATAACAAGAATATTTTTAAAAGCCACTGCCCCGAGAATGAACAGTGCCATGCCATAGAAGGGTTAAGTTTTAGCTGATTCTAATTTAAGTGGCTTTGTATTTTACCAACTTGGAGAAAAAGAAAAATGATCTTTAAATCATTTAAAAAAAAAAGAGAGAGTGCCACCTTAAGATCACACATTTTTTCCTGGGGAAAATGAGAGAAGAGAGAGAGACAGATAAATACATGATCAAAACTCTGTGTATATTTTCAGAACAGGATGGAACAGTAGCCTCAGTTTGATGTATGTTTTATTTATTTTGATAATAGCTGGATAATCCAACCCTGATCAGAGAGTCATTTTTTCTCTAATCTTTAAACACTTTAGAAAATGTACACAATACTGCATAACTTAAATCCAAAATGCACCTATAGTATGCACTAATCACAGGCTAGTCTGTAGTCGGGGATAATTAAGCAATTCAAGATCATCCTGAGTTTGTAACCACCTCCTTACTCAGCTATTCCATTGTTAACAAGTGGCAGGAATTCCTAGTACCTTTTGGCTAACTGGACAGTCTGTGGTTGGTCCAAATTCTACTTTGCTCATCTGCTTCAATAAGAAAATCTCATAAGAGCTCCTTATTCTCTTTTTGAGTAATTACAATAACTCAAAGAGCGTGCTTTAGGTTTTATTTAATGTTTATAGTATACAAACAATGTAATCATACAGCTCTCAGATGTTAACTTTGACAGGGTTAGTATAACTAAATCCCAATCCTCTGCAATCCAATAATATCCTCTTTTTACAACATCCCCTCACCTACACCAGCAGCAAGAGACACTCAGGATAAAGGTTTACTGCTCTCAATATCTAATTTGCTACCAAATATAAAAATTATCCGCATAAGATCAGAATGGCAATACCCTCAAACAGTGCTCCTGTGCAATCTAAACAGTTGAAATGTTACTGAGGGCAAGCCTTCATAAAAAGAGGCTTTGTTTTACCCTCCCTATTACTTTACCTTATAACAACTCTACTACTGTTAGGGGGCAGGTACCAGAATGTCACCCTGTGTTATTTTACTATTTTTTGTTGGGACTGGTGCTTGAAGCAGCCAATATGTTTATTTAAACAATGGAATAATAAACAAAATAAAGGTGTTTTGCACCATGCCTTGGAGACTGTGAAAGACACAGTCTGCCACGAGGACACGGAGTATTTGAATTGGACCTTTCAACAGCAAGGTTGCCAAACCATTCAGATCTTTTGAGATTACCAACAACAAGCTTAAGTGAACTCATATATTCAGAGCACTGCTCAAATGAAGAACAGACTTGCTGTAGCAGCATTTACCCTATTGTTAAAACCACCACCACAACAAACTTTTGGGTCATATTCTACATGCAGTACACAGGGTCTCAGCCTGTAGCTAAAATCATCCTTAGCAAATATTGGATTAACCATCTACTTTCCTCCTAAAAACAAACATTCTAAGTTATTTTGTTTGTGTTTTCTTCTCCTCCTCTTCTAATCCTCTAATTCTTTCTTCTCTTCTAATCCTCTGCCACCAACAATGTATTGTTGGTGGCAGAGGATTACTCTTATTCAATCTTAAAATTAAAAACAACAAAGACACATCAAGTAGTTTTGATTCCTTTTAAATCTCTGCTGAGACTATTTTCAGATGCCACATGACTTCCATCAAACATCGCATTAATCTGAACATCTGGTAGCCAAGCACTATTGTAAGCCATATTTCTATAGCAAGCTACCAAGTAGATATTACTGAAAGGCTTCTACATTAGAAGGACATGTTCCTTAAAAGCATCCAATACAAATTTCAGTTACTAAAATATGTTATATGGTAAGGCAATGGGTTTACAAGGACTACAGTACTGTATTAGAATTCACATGTCATCACTATTGCTCTGAGGGCCATCTGTGCATCACTCTCATAGAGAAAGCAATTTAAGTGAAGGCCAAACCAGCAGGATAAATGTGACTACCTTTTGGGTCTCAATCTTGCCAGTCAGAAGTAACTTGTGAAATATCGCTAATCCTTGCTGTAGGGTCTAGAATTGAATAGCAAGCAAGCTTGGCAGATAGAAATCTCTATAGCCTCTTTTACCCACCAGGGATTGCTGTGATTTCCAGGATAATCTGGCAGCAAAGCAGAAAACATAACGCTAGGTGGGAAAGATATAGACACGGAAATGGTTAAAAAAAAAAAAAAAAAAGTATGGCACACTTAAAAAACCCATACACTTCTCAAGCAATGGTATTTTCTAACTTACATAACAAAACTGTTTGCTTTTCTCCCCTTTATCTTTATTGTTTAAAAAAATTGGGGAGAGGAAGAAGGAGAATTACATTTGAGTTCTGATCCTAAATATGATGGACAGGTTTGTACATTTACTTAGAAATTCTCTCCTTCATGCCCATACACACAGTGAATTTAGAGCTCAGGATCTTTCTAAATAGGGCCTCACGAAGGTCAGCATGGTTGGCAGCTCTGGGAACCACTAATTAGCAATGTTATCTCTTTAATAAACCTGGGATGGATTTGATAGCATTCCATCACTAATTTTTCCCCTTACATAATTGCTCAAGCAAAAAGGAAAATTAAAACAAAAATAGATTAGCTCAGCACACTTCATTTTGGCTCTGGATCAGTAGTACATGTACAGGAAGCAGTGGCTAGCAGCTGCAGAAAGACAGAGGGTCACATCACAGCAACTAACCCACTCCAGGGCTTCCGATAGGAGTGCAGGCAACACACACACTTTGCTCAACACAGACTAAGTGATAACAAGGAAACAAGAGGAAAAGTATGAGAAAACATACCAAAGTGGATTGCAAAAGGAGATGGTGCTAACAGGGGGTAAAGCAAAAGGAAAAGCGAAGTCCTGACAAAAGGGAGAAGGCAAGTTCTTCAAGTAAGAAAACAAGAAAGGCCATTCGTTTTCTTCAAAGAAAATAGAATGAGACAAAGGCAGGAAGTGCTGTCCTTCCTTTATCCTGCAGAGCTCTCACTGAAAAGACAAGTATATGCATCGGTCAAGATAAGGGAAAAGAGATGGCCTTCTTTGAGAGGAAACAAGTATGTATCTCTACATTAATGGACTCCTCCTATGTATATTTAGGGTGGAAAGGAATATGGTTTCACATTCAAGGTTTCCCAAAGCACTGCTCTATTTGACAGTAGTACACTGGCTTAGTAAATGAATGTGAAATCTGTTAAACAGCTTAAGAACAGCTCACACATATTAGAATGTTTGCCAAGAAAGCAAGGTTCTCCCCTATTAGCCCTGAGAACTACTATGGAATTTTCCCTTCAGCACATATAACCGCCACACAATTGGCATTCCCAATTTAGGAGATGCCCAGTTCTGAACAACGCATGTTTTAGAGGCACTGTCAGTATTGTGTAGGAAAGCTTCAGAGCCTGTCAGCAACCAGTGTCATTAGTCCATTACTTTCACAAGCAATGAAATTCACCATATACACTCAAACTTAAAACAAAACCCGAAGCCTAAAAAAAGAGTACTTTATTTTCAGGCATGCTCAATCTCATCATTACATAATTCATTTACAGTATTCCCTTGTGAATTATGCCTATGATGTCACTTCTGGGATGAAAATCAAATTTCAAAGAATTATATTAAATAATGGATACAATTAAATATAAATACTTCTCCAAGACCAGCCTTAAATAATTGCCCTTCACTGGCTTCTCATGCAGCGACAGTTTACTTGTATTTCTTAGGTCAATTTTTAAACACAGAGAACTAGTCTGATTCGGCATAGCGGAAAAAAACATTACCAGCTCTCGAGGCAGAAAGGCTTCCTCCTGCCGAGCCACGATCAGAGAGACAGTCTCCCCTTGCTTAGTGCTTCTCAACATAGCCACTAGTTCTTCCTGGGTCCTGCCAGTGACATCTCTGCCATTCACCTAATGGACGTAATTAGGAAACAAATAAACAATAACTCTGACTAACAAGTGCTGTCTTTGATTTTCTAAACTGGGAGAGGTGTGGTTCAGTGGTCTGAGAACCAAGAAATGTTGAGTTTTAAGGGTTGTCTACATGGTCCTGTAGCACAGACCACGGGACCGTGAGTTGCAGCCCACACTGAAGTGTTGAGCTGTGATTGCCCCATGTAGACCCTACTAGCGGGAACTACAAAGTACCTAGCTTTCATTGACATAGTCTTCTGGGACTACATTACTGCAAACCTGTGACTTCATACTAGCAAGGTTTATCTGGGGCAGTTACAGAGCAACACTTCAGTGCGTGCTGAAATTCACACCCCCGTAATCTGCGCTGCAGAGCCATGCACCCAAGCTCTTAATTTGGTTGCCACAGCGAGTTTCCTCTCAGGCCTGCACAAATCACTTATCCTCTTTGCTAGTTTTCACCATCTGTTAATGGGGATTTATAATACCTACCAGGCAGGGGTTTTGTAAAGATTAATCAGTTTGTAAAGCTCTTTGAAAATGAAAACCACTAAACAAGAGGTAAGTATTAATATTGTTTACATTAGCGCTCTTTGAGGTTAGCAAGTAAAAATAGCCCCATAGATAATGAGTTCAGAAGTCATACAAGTATGAACATTTAAAACCGAGAAAATACAATGCAACTGATTTAAAATGTGCATTAGAAAAACATTCACAGTGAATACACAGATTCTTGGATATTATTTCAATTGATGTATCTACTTTCAAAATCGGGCAGCCATTTTATCAGCTCTCCCTTGTTTGAATGCCTTGCAAGACTATTTTCATAGGCACCTGATTCTGAACTGTATATTTAAGTCAACAAGCAGTATGAAAGCACTGTACTTTAAAAAACAACAACCCAACAACCTACAAAATGGGGAAATATGGGGTTTAAATTAGGAACATGCCATGCTATGTTAGTCACTAGTAATTACAGAAAATACAAATATATCTAAAATATATATTTTAAAAGCCAATAAACAATATTTAGTGGTGAGACAGGAAAGGATGTTTGATATTCCCAGTTCTGCTAACCTCCAATATTCGGTCTCCTGACTGCAAACGACCATCTTTGACTGCTGCCCCCTTTGGCAAAATATTCTTCACAAAAATAGGACCAGGACCATGAACTGAAGAGTCTCTGGTAACCACAGTGAAACCAAGTCCTTCAGGACCTAGAGTGCAGACAGAGAAGGCTCATTGTAAATTTCAACAAGAAAATGATATTAATTAAAATAACGGAACAGTAAAATTTAAAAAAAGTATCAAGAGCAAGCATTTAGATGAGCTTTCAACGAAAGCTGCTTCAGCCATTGAGCACGATTTCATGGAGGACCAGAAGAGTAAGTATTATGCCACTGTCAGAAGAGACAGGTTCAGACCCTGCTGTTAATATGCATGAACTAAAATAGGTTTGAATTACCCATGTTCCAATCAGAAACTAAATGGAGGGCTCACTCTAAATATAATGCCTCTTTCCCAGGTAGTTTTGGGACTGCTTTAGATATTAATCCTTTAGAGTCAAATCATCTCATAAAATATTTTGCGTATAGTGAAGTAAAGCAAAAAAAAATTATGGTAAAAAAATTAGGCAAAGCAGCACAAATACAGGAAGGGGGATTGACTGACACCATATTGTGTGCCTATAATCAATGGCATGATCGTTACCCAAAATATGCTCAAAATTAAATTAAAGGCAGAAATATGGTGACAGTGATGAAGAGCACAAAAACTTTATACCATTCAAAGGGTATGGAAAATTCTACTTAAGTCTTAGTAATGCAGAATGACTCAATATTATCTTAAGCAGAAATCTATGCACACTTAGGTTTTCATCGGTCTGGCAAGGGTCTGGGAGATTGAGGTTATCAAAGCCAGCCCTGCATATTGGCATTAAAGACACTGCTTCACATGATATCTCACACGTTACAGACAACTTCAGAGAACTTGGAAGAGTGCTGAAGGAGCCATGTCCAAGTGATTTTTCTTGAGATCCTTTCTGTCCCAAGAGTGAAGGAAGACAGAAAGAAGGAGATTCTGGTAGAGAACTGCTGACTAAGTAGCGTAAGGTAACAGCTTTTAATTGTGAGGAACATTGACCTACCTCTTATGGAGAGAGTGGTTGTATAGATTGGATAGCTTCCATTTTAGCAGAAGGCGAACCAAGCTTCTAGGGAACAGCAGGATGTTTAACAACAAAAGGAGCGAGTGAAGCGAGGGGAGGACGGACAAATGAGCATTTATTTAGGGCAAAATCAAGATGCCATGAACCAAATTAATCAAGGCACCAAGAGAAGAAAATTTTTAATTGCCTGTACACCAACGCTAGGAGAGTGGGTAATAAACGAGCAATTAGAATTGCTCATTTATGAGGATAAATTCAACCTTGTTGATATTATTGAAACATGGTGGGAAAATTTGCATGATTGGAATGTCAACATCTCTGGTTATAACCTATTCAAGGAAGGATCAAGTGTGCAAAAGGAGATGAGGAGTAGCACTCTGTGTCATGATGGCATTGCCTATTTCCAAGTCACCGACAACTTTGGACGCAAACAATCTTGAATGCTTATGGATCAATGTTTTAACAGTTAAAGCTCAAGATTGGTGCTAATGCGTGTCTGCTCTAGACCAGCAAATCAAGAGAGAAGAAGACGACTGTCTTCTTAAGCACCCATCTGTAATGTATAGTGAAAACTCATCATGAGCGATTTCAATTTGGGTGACATATACTAGAGTTCGCATGTTGCCAGTATTAGAACATCCTTGTAATTTCTAAAAGTCATATATGACTATTTCCTAACACAAAAAGTGTGGCAGCTATAACAGGGGAATTCTATATTGAACCTCAGTTTGACAGCTAAAGAAGAATATATCACGGAACTAAAAATTAGCGGTTGCTTAGTGCAAGTGATCATGACTATCTTACATTTGTTATGTGTAAACAGAATTGAAAAGAGCCAATATTGCAAAGCAGAAAACAATTATGAACCAAATCAGCTGGGAGAAAAAATTTAAATAAAAACATGAATGATAATTGGGAACTGTTTAAGAACATTCTTCTCCGACACCCAAAAAGCCACAAATCGAGAAAGCAGGCTATGATAGTTTAAAAACAAAAAATAAATCTCAGCCTGGTTCAAAAGGGTAGCAAAAAAGCAGCAATATAAACAGAACAAAAACAACCCCATTTATAATAAATGGAAAAAAGGGGCACTGATAACAATAAATAGAAGTTAGATGCTAGGAATTGTGGAAAATTGATAAGGGACGCAAAAGGACACAAGCAGAAATATATGGCCAGAAGAGACCGCACAGTAAGAAAGAGGGTTTTGTGTTTTTTTAAAATCACCACAAATAAAAAAAACCTTAACAATGATATTGGCCCATTACTAGATGGAAATGGTAGAATTGTCAGTAATAATAACAAAAAGACAGAAATGTTAAATAAATATTTCTGTTCTGTACTTAGGAATATATCATCTGGCTTTTTCCTATCATACACTTTCCATTCCAACAATAACTACACAGAATGTTAAACAGCAGCTAAAGTTACACATCTTTAAATCAGTAGTTTTAAAAGAGCTGACCAAAGAACTCTCTTGAGCGTTAACTGCTTATGTTTAGTAAGACTTGGAACACCATGTATGTTCTAGACAAGAGGACAGAAAAAGATAACATTTTACCAATATTTAAAAAGAGTAAATAGGATGACCTGAGTAACTATATAATAGAATGGCTGATGCGGGACTTGATTAATAAAGAATTAATGTTTTTATAATGCCAACTAACATGGGTTTATGGAAAATATATCTTGTCAAACTAAGTTAGTATCATTTTTTGATGAGAGAATAGGTTTGGTTGATAAATACACTTAGACTTCGGTAAGGCATTTGGCTTGGTATCACATGACATTTTGATTAAAAAACTAGAATTCTAAAAAAAAAAAATAACATGGCACATATTAAATGGATTAAAAACTAGCATACTGATAGCGAAATATAATTGTAAATAGGGAATCATCATTAAAGGGTATGTTTCCAGTAAGGTCCTGCAGGGATTGGTTCTTGTCTCTAAGCTATTTAATATTTTTATCAATGCTCTGGAAGAAAACATAAAATCACTACTGATAAAGTTTGCAGATGACACAGAGATTGTGGGAGTGGTAAATAATTAAGGCGATAGATCTGGATTGCTTAGCAAGGTGAGTGCAGGCAAATTTCAATATAGCCAAATATAAGGTGATACCATCTAGGAACAAAGAATGGAGGCCATACTTACAGGATGTGGGACTCTATCCTGTGAAGCAGTGACTCTGAAAAGGACTTAGGGGGTCATGACATATAAACCGAGGAATATCAAGTAGGAATAGGGAGGCAATGTCTCTGTATTGGGCACCAGTGCAACCCCTATGGGAACACTCTGTCCAGTTCTGGTATCCACATTTCAAAAAGGATATTAAATCGGAAGAAATTCAGAGCAAAGTCAAAAGACTGATTAAGGGACTGGAAAACATGCCTTACAGTGAGAGACTCAAGCTTATCAAAGAGAAAGTTAAGGGATGACCTGATCACAGCCCATAAGCATCTACATGGGGAGAATAAAGAATTATTCAGTTAAACAAACAAAAGTATAACAAGAGCCAATGGCTGGGAGATGGAGCTAGACAAATTCAGACTAGAAATAAGGTGCTGATTGTAACAGTGAGAGCAATTAAACATTGAAACAATTTATCAAGGGTTGTAGAAGATTCTCGATCACCGGAAATTTTAAAATCAAGACTGGATGTTTTTATAAAAGATGTGCTCTAACTACTGGACGTGATGCAGGCATTCATAACAGGAACTCCTCTGGCCTGTGTTACATATCATGAACCACATATCAGGTCAGACCAAATGATCATAATGGTCCTTTCTGGCTTCAAAATCCATGAATTACAGGGATGTGCCTGAAAGCTCCACTCCAATTAATCTGTGGGGCTCCACAGCACATTCTCAAATTTAATTGCTGCATCCCATGTACTTACTCTACTTTATCGTTCTTTTAAACTATCCCCCTTGCACACTCTACACAGCTTCTTCTTCACTTCAGATTATGTGGCCTCTGGCTCTTCTAACTACAAAGCCATGGAAATTTTGTATTTGTTTTTCAGGTTCTGCTCATTTTTTCCTAAGTGCAGAATGCAACATCACCTCCTTATATGAACTTCCTCCCCCAACGATGTCACACCAGCATGTAAAAACAAAAGAGGGCAGGAAAAATGTGGCAAGAGTCCCCGGTGACATATTCAGAACATTGTGTTTATCTTTTACTAAAGTATCAATAACTAAACTGTTTAAACACTCAGCTGGCCCCGTGTCACTAGTTCAGTTAAAAGTTAAGGTACCAATACAGAGAACATGTAGTTGTTACAGTACATCACTGCGGATTGTTGAACCTTTACCTTTCTTAAGGTCTATCTTTATTCTCTTTGCATTTTTCTTGTTGCCGAAGCCCATCATAGGAGACAGTGATGGCGAAGATGGTTTCTTACCCAACCTTGGGAGATTGGGGCTCTTAGCGTGTTGTAGTGTTGCCTGCAGATCTGTCTCCAGGCTGTTCATTCCAGAGAGATCTATTGTTTTCACAGCTGGTTTCGTAAGAACAGGAGGTGAAACCTTTGTTTTTGGAACTCCTTCATCATTATCGAGCAAACAAAGGGGAGCAATGACAGACTTTTCATATTGTTCACGATTATATGGAGGAACCACTTCCAAGAAGACACTTGGAGATTTCATGGCCTGACGGAAGATATCCTGAGCCCTTTAAAGAAAGGCATGAAAACAGATACATCAAAACCAGAAAATCTGTGTGTTATGGGGCTTGGGGTGCAATGCAGACCAGTAAGACCTGCCTGCAAGCTTGAGTGCCTTACAATGCTTTGCTGCTGCAGCTTCCAGGCTGGGCCACTCACAGCCAGCCTACCAGCATGCAAGTCACACCCTGGTTCAGCAGCTCTGACTTTAGCTGCCTGTCTGCCGCCCCACATCGACTTCTACCAGCCTCAGTTACTACTTGCAGGGTGACCCCCATACACTCCCAGTCCCAAATTTTCCAAAACCATGTGTTCTGCAATGTCCAGCCCTCTCCAGGACAGTTCAGAGAAACAATAAGGTGTGTTGTTCCTCTAAAGACACATCACAACTTAGTAACTTAACTGGGGTAAATACACCCTTCCCTACAAACATAGAACTGAGCTGGTTTATAGTGAAAATGAACCAAGTTTATTAACAATTGGGCATAGGTTAAGTGATACCAATTTAAAGGAATAAAGCTAGACAGGGCTACATACAAACAAAAGTGAAAACATGAACATAAAAGTCTAAAACTTAATCTAGCAAATTATAGGTTTTGTTCTAGATGGTTTCCCTCATCAGTCTTCCTCCTTTCCAACCATGGTTGACTTTCCCTCAGTCAGGACCTTCCACAGGAGACAAAGCACTGGCTTCCCTTGTCTTCCTAAGTGTCAACTATATTCAGTTTCCAGAGACTTCAACCCCTCCATGGTTGAAGAACCCATATTTCTCATCTTGCAAGAGCTCTGGCCTCTGGTCTCCGTCTAGTGAGGGATGACAAAGACGGCTTCTATTTTTGCTTACATCTTCTAAAGTTCAATGCCTTTGTTTCAAGGAGCATGATGAACTCATGTTGTTTTTCCCTTCCTTTGGATTTCCCATTCCCCTGTACATTAATGGCGTTTCCACTATTTTCATTCCACCATGCTTAATATACATAGGAGACAGGTAAATAGCTGCTTTCTCTCCTGTCTGAGAGGGAACCTGTTTCTCCCTGTTTGGCCACAGACTTTAAAGCATAATATCATTAAGTATCCATATTTCCTCATATAGTGTTAATCCATACATTTGCCTTTACCCACCCTCAGGTTGCCCCTCTGCAAGCTCAATACCTATATGGGCCTAGGACCAGGCCTACGGCTTCCCAGCCCCCAAGGCCTTTCCCCAGTCCTGCCTGACTCTAGGTCCCTGGTGAGTTCCCTGCAGCCAGGTCTGTCTCTCTCTCCTGTCAGAGGGAGACTCCTCAGCTCTGGCTGCCCTGGCCTTCTTATAAGGCTGAGTGGCTCAGTTTGGGGCGTGGCCCCAGCTGCAACCACTTCCCCAGTCAGCCAGGGTTTTGCCCCTTTCCACAGCCCCAGCCCTCTGCAGGGCTTTTCCAACCCCTTCAGGGCTGGAGCGGGCATTCACCCCACTACAGGAATATATTGCATTTGTCCTTATTGAATTTCATCCTATTTATTTCAAACCATTTCTCCAGTTTGTCCATTCCATTTTGAATTTTAATCTTATCCTCCAAAGCACTTGCAACTCCTCCCAGCTTGGTATTGTCCTCTATGCCATTATCTAAATAATTGAAGAAGATATTGAATAGAACCAGACCCAGAACTGATCCCTGTGGAACCCCACTTGATATGCCCTTTCAGCTCGATTGTGAACCACTGATAACTACCCTCTGGGAATGGTTTTCCAATCAGTTATGCATCCACCTTATACTAGCTCCATCTAGGTTGTAGTTCCCTAGTTTGTTTATCAGATGGTCATGTGAGAGGGTATCAAAAGCCTTACAAAAGTCAAGATATACCACATCTACTGCTTCCCCCCCATCCCGGAGGCTTGTTACTCTGTCAAAAAAAGCTATTAGGTTGGTTTGACACGATTTGTTCTTGACAAATCCATGCTGTTACTTATTATCTTCTATGTTTCTGCAAACTGATTGCTTAATTATTTGCTCTATTATCTTTCCCGGTACTGAACTTAAACTGACTGGTCTGTAATTTCCTGGGTTGTCCTTATTCCCCTTTTTTAGATTGGCACTACATTTGCCCTTTTCCAGTCCTCTGGAATCTGACCCATCTTCCATGACTTTTAGAAGATAATCACTAATGGTTCAGATATCTCCTCAGTCAGCTCCTTGAATATTGTAGCATATATTTCATCAGGCACTGGTGACTTGAAAACATCTAAATTGTCTAAGTAATTTTTAACTTGTTCTTTCTTTATTTTAGTCTATAATACTACCTCATTTTCATTGGCATTCATTAAGTTAGATGTCCAATTGCTACTAAACTTTTTGGTGAAAATTGACCAAAAAAAATAATTTAAACACTTCTGCCATTTCCACATTTTCTGTTATTGTTTCCACCCCCCACCACCCTCTTCACTGAGTAACGGGCGTACCCTGTTCTTGGTCTTCCCTCTTGCTGCTAATGTATTTGTAGAATGTTTTCTTTTTACCTTTTATGTCTCTAGCTAGTTTAATCTCGTTTTCTGCCTTGGCCTTTCTAATTCTGTCCCTACATATTTGTGTTGCCCAGTTTAAACACACTTTAATTCCAGTGTATATTCAAAACTCTTAATACACACCATGTGCATACATCACACAAGAATATTAATGATCAGAAAGTTATTAGTTTTCAAATGATACCTCACGAGTCATATTTTGTGCAAAGATTACTACAATAGTGTTTACGGTCTGAATACAGGGGTGCTTAGGGTCACACTGTGCAATATTTCTACATATCTTGCTGCATACTTAGAAATTGTTTACAGCTATGAATTTATTCTACCTACAGAAAACAGAAATAACTATACATTTCAAAGTAAAGTGACCCTCTTTCAAAAGTCAACAGTAAACATGCAGTAAGATTTGCTACATCACAGTATTTTCCTATGCTTTGAATAGGAATTGGGATTTGTGAAGCTGGCAAGATCTCTGGGCTGCTACGAATGATGCCCACTTGCAAACTCCTAAGTTGGAGTCAACACAAGGAAGACCGTTCTTGGGTGAGGAGGAGTAGGAAGCAAGGCTCTAAAGGAGAACGCTGACTAAAACAGTTCTCTCACAACTGGAGAGGAACTGTAGTGGGAAAGATGGTGGGGCGTAGCATTTCTCCTGCAGGGTTCTCCAGAGGGCTGGAAGAGGAAAGTGCATAGCTGCTTCCAAAACAAATATGGAAAAGCAGAACCCTGTAGCAGTAGCACAGATCAGGGCATGGGCATGCAAAAAAAAAAAAAACAACCACACAAATGGGCCCTGAGTAGAAGAAATGTTCTATTCTTGCTACATGTAAAAGCAGGAAAAAAGGAGCAGACTATCTCATTAACAAAAACATACTACTCCAAGCCAATGCTTGTAATTCAATAACAATCTTAGTATGAGGAGAAACTAATGATAGACAGTTGCCCATTTTAAACAGCGTGGCCACAATTAAAAACTTGCCAATTTCCTTAGATAATTTTATCTCAGTATTTACAATATAGCCTATTATAATAAGGAAATAAAAGAAATACTAAAGTCAAGTTATTTAAGGCAGATTTGGAAAGTTTTTAAGCACAACCACTGTACACTTTACATATTCACTAATAAAAATCCCTTCGCAATTTTTCAAAGACATGTTGAAAGTAGGGTTACCATACGTCCGGCTTTTCCCGGACATGTCCGGCTTTTTGGTCCTCAAAACCCCGTCTGGGAGGAAATTCCAAAAAGCCGGGCATGTCCGGGAAAATAGGGAGTGGTCATGGGGCTTGGATCCGGGCTGGAGCCACTAGGGCCAGAGCTGGAGCCGTTGGGGCCAGCGGTGCTCAGCCGCCGGCTGGCGCCGTTCGGCCAGGGCCAGGCCGGAGCCGCTCGGCTGGAACCGGGGCTGGGGGTGCTCGGCCGGCGCCGCTCGCCCAGGGCCGGGGACAGGCCGGAGCCGCTCGGCTGGAACCGGGGCCTGAGCCGGGCCGGAGCCGCTGGGACCGGGGCTGGGGGTGCTCAGCTGCTGGATGGCGCCGCCCGGCTGGGGCCGGACCGGAGCTGCTCGGCCGGAACTGGGGCCCGAGCCAGGCCGGAGCCGCTGGGACCGGGGTTGGGGCTGCTCAGCCGCGGCTGGTGCCCCGGGGCCCGAGCCAAGCTGGAGTGGCCGGGGCGGGCCGGAGCCGCTCGGCCGGAACCGGGGCGGGTGCCCCAGGGCCCGAGCCGAGCCGGGCTGGAGACACTGGGGCCAGAGCCGCTCGGCCGGGGGGGGCCGGACTGGGCCGCGCCCCCCCGCCCCCGCCCCAGCCCCAGCTTACCTGCTGCCTGACTGTTTCAGGCTTCCCGCGAACATTTGATTTGCAGGAAGCAGGGGAGGGGGAGGAGCAGGGGGCGGAGCGTTCGGGGAGGGGCGGAGTTGGGGCGGGGACTTTGGGGAAGGGGCGGAGTTGGGGTGGGGAAGGGGCGGAGTTGGGGCGGGGCTGGGGCCCCATGGAGTGTCCTCTTTTTGTTTTTTTAAAATATGGTAACCCTAGTTGAAAGGGATCTCTGGACCAAACTCTCTCTAGATTAATCTGAGCAGAAGAGTTTAAAAGTGCCCCAACTCTATTTTACACACAAGATAAAGCTCAAAAATGCTTTAACTACAGTAGTGAAAGAACTATGCCCCTCAGTCCATATTCTCCACAGATATCAGAGTTGTAGGTTATGCCTGCTTCTGTACCATACATTGTTTATTTCAAAACAAACTTCTTTCTCATCCCTAAACCACCAGCTAATAGATATTTAAGAATGTAAAATCCTCACTTAATTTATCTCAGACCACTCCCCATTCTCATATCATTGCAAGCAGTCACGTGACAATACACTATATGGTGGCTTAAAAGCTCATTTTTAGGAGATGCATAACATATCAGAGAGATAGAAATAGGAGATCTCTCACAAACTAAAAATAATGGTGAGAACACCAGTAAATCTGTAGGAAACCTAGAAGCAGTACCTGAGGGTGAAATAATTGCCAGGACACTTTTTTTTTTTTTTTTTTCTTTTAAAGAAAAATGTAATGGGCAGTGAAAGTCAAATTCTTTGAGCCCCCAAATGCATACTTAAAGAAATAAAAGACAAAGACTGAACCAAAAGAGGTGCTAAGATCTCCAGAACACAGCAGAATATAACTGAATTTATTAAGACTAAATGAAAAAGGAGACTCACAGTAGAGAGATATAAAACCATTATGAACATGAAACTACAACAAATTGCCTTCTAGTGAGGAAAAGCAACCTTTCAGTATTCAAAAACTTCCATCTAAAATAAACAAACTGAAAAAGAACATGTAATCACTACAGTCTTTGCTAACTCTTAAAGGACCCTTTGCAATCAGCAGGAGAAACCATGACCTTACCACTAATACAGTCAAACTGATTGCTCTTTCTGTATCAGTAGCCAATGCAACAAGTGACTATAAACTCCTGTCATTTGACAGAGGCATCAAACTTTTGTACCTCCGATTCATTTCAGGTGATGGGGCCAGGAAGTAAAAACTATGATGTTACTCTTGTAGGTTACATGGTGTCAGAAGAAAATTAAATCTTTGGCAAAAACTGAGCAAGTGAGGTCTCCTTAATCTCTCAGTTTAAAAGGGAAACTGATAGAGAACTGGCAGTTACTGTAGTGCTTCCAAGTATTCCAGAAAGCTAGCAGTATTGCAGAGAAATCAGAGGGTGAAATTCTCCACATTGCTACAGGCCCAGAGGCATTCACAATCTATAGTGTGTTCCAGAGGAGGCAGGAAGGGGACTGCAAACTTCTACTCAGTCATTCAAAATTTCAAAAAATAATTTGATCAATGCAAAAAATCACTTGAGAAAGATGTATTTTATTTTCTTAATAAAACACTAGCTGCTAGGTGAGACCATTGGCCTTTACGTTACAACCCCATAACTTAAAATTCATTTGACAATTTAGGGATCAAATTATTTTGTGGTATAATTGATACCTAAATAAGTAAAAGGGATTGATTTTGAAAAAACTAGTCTGCAACAAACACCTACGTTATTTATGTATAAAAGCTTTACATCAATTACTTATTGACTTATTACTAGCATATAACAATACTGCAACAAATACCAGTATGTCTACCTGTGTACAACAATGCTGGACCACATCTACATTCATACTGCAACACATGTCTGTATACTTGCATTCTTACCTGTATAATACCACACCAAATATATCTACCTATGTAGTAGGCTAAAAATATCCATATGAAAATACAAACAATATAGGTTGATGGGGTTTTGTTATGTTTACCTTACACATCACATTTAAATCTATTGTTTTTCTTGCCTAAATTTCTCTTTTCTCAAAATTTCACTTTTCTGGCATGGACTAGAAATGCAGAAGGCACTCAAATGTAGCATTAAAGCTTTTTTCAGCATTTCAGTTTTATGGGACAAATGCCTTGATTTAGCAGTCCATAGCTATTCAGCAAAGCACTTAAGAAGGTCCTTTAAAATTAAGCACATGCCCAATTTCTGTTAACTACAGTAGCACCTGAGTAGATACTTCTAGCGAAGCATGTGCTTAAACACGTTGAATAACGATTTTACTTAAGCATACACTTTGCTGATTTGAAGCTGAAGTCACCAGGTTTTCCTAGCATCATCTGTGAACATTTGGCAGGTGGGAGCAAGGGATGCATGGTCATGGAACTCCCTAGTGGTCTCTGTTATGATGTGGAAACTATTTTCCACTGCAGGGGGGAAAAGATTGGTTAGGTTCTGACACTTATCAATCACCAAACGAAAATGTACAATGGAATAGGCTTATAATCAGATATTTTGAACATGTACAACTAGGGAAAAAGGGGGGAGGGAACCCACAAAAACCTTAGCCACTAAAGCATAAGATCAGCACTGTTTTTAATCAAACTACTGTAGATCTGCACATATTCATATGTAACACTGAAATTTTGCATTGAGCATTTGGCTTATGGTTTAAAATGTTAAGCATCAACTCCCCTGAGCCCTCAACAGATTTTGTTGTCTGATGAATATCACTCGTGTCTTTTAATATAAGGATTAAAAATAAAAATAAATTACTATTTAATTTTAAGCAAATATTTGTGACTGTGAAATTTAAGAGGCTATTCATTCCAGCAAAAAAAAAAAAAAAAAAAAAGTCTTCTTGAATGCACAGATTATCCAAAGTATTCTCTGTTACATAAACCAATTAGGGATGAACAATAATGTCAACAGATTTTAAGTCAAAACTACAAAACTTATTACTCTATGCTTTTAACCTAAAGTTAGCCTTGCAACTTAGTTCAACTGCTTTACACTTTGTGTTGGAAATCATTAATCTTTAACCATTAGACACCTGAAAAGAGTTGTAGCGCAAGAGATTCTCTCTTTCTTCTTAATTATTTACAGAAACACCACATTCTCAGAAGTTGTGGGCACCCCCAAAAATACTGTATGTTCAGTTTTGTATACCTTAATACTAGAAATTTCTCAAAAAAATGGAAGGAAATAAAAGACGAGTAAAAAAAGTAAGTGGGGGTGAAGGGACTGACTTATATTTCAAAGTTATGCAAACTAAATCTGCACAGTATTGTTTGGCTAAACAATTACTAGTAGGTGATAATGTAAAGCCAATACCTTTCTGAAGTGTAAACACAAAGGAGGGAGAGGATTTATTTAGGATGTTCCAAAGGCATGCAATAAGGAGTAATGAAATACAAAAACACTTATGTAAGGAAAAATTTCCTAACACTGAATAGTATCTCATCGGAAGTAGTGTTCCATTGTTTGAATTCTTTAAAACTGGAGTGGACAAAACAATTTAGAATACATTGTAGGAAGTTCTGCTTCACTGGCAGGTGAAGGTTTTTCCAATATTATAATTTCTATAATTTGAGTCTATGATGGGAACTATATATTACTGCATTTGGAAGTTTCATGAAAGAGAATTATGATGCTTTAGTTATATACATATTTTATGGTATTTTACTTGCAACATGCTACATTAATCACCTCAATAAGTACAGCATTATATAAAATTCTGGTGGTTAACAGAATCAATTAAGTAATTAAGTAGCACTCACTGTGCAAAGGTTTTATCTACGAGGTCCACATTGTTAATTTTCACAATACACTCATTTTCATGGAAAAGACCATCACGCCTAGACCTGCTGTTCTCCTCAATACCACGAATAAAGAGTCCTAGAATCCTGAAAAGCAATAATAAAGCTGATGATTATTCTGTATTAGATTTGTATACAAAACATTTATAATAATTACAAACAGATATTGGTCTCTACTGAGGAAGGAACAAAGTTCTTCTTGTGGTCTACTAATCACACCATATTAAGTCTTTAGTCTAAAGGAGAGATTTCCAAAATTTATTTTCCATTAATGAACCAGGACTCCAAAAAGAATATGAAACCAGCCAGTAAAATTTTAGTCTGCTGACACTGTTGGTAACCCTTCCTAACACTTCAGAAAGTGTTAACCGCATTAATCAGGAGTTGGAGAAAGGGAGGGGGAAACCAGCCCCATCCTTCCAGACAAAATGTTAAGATAGAATTTATGCAGGATAGATACATGTTAACAAATAAGATGGAATCAATTACAAGGAAAAGGTTAAAGTTAAGTGCAAAACAGTGGTTCTAATTATACTAGATCAAAATACAGAGGCATTGCTACAAGGAATTAGAAGCCCATTTCTGCTGAGGAAAGGATGACGTGCACAAGGAACAATCTCTTTCTAGTCAAGTCCAAAGAAACCGAGAAATTAGGCTAATCTTGCCTGTATTGAGGCCTAGGGTTTCTTGAACCGCTGCAAACCACAGTGATCCAGGTGGAGGGGCAGTTATTAACATTTTGAAAAGCCCTCGCAAGGAGATCTGGGTTGTATTCCTATGGACTTCCTATACATCGTTTCGCAAGTCAATTAAATCCCCACTGACCCACAGTTTCCTCATTTCCATGACAAATGAGATCAATATTAATTTCCTACCTCACAGGGGTATTGTGAAGTTTACTACATTAATATTTGTAAAGTGCTTTCAGAAGCTCAAACAGAAAATGTTGTAGAAGTGCAAAGTAAATGACATAAAGAAGAGTCAGACTTCTGCCTTAGAAAGGATGATGTCCTTCTCATAGCATGCTAAGCCCTATGCTAAGCACTAAATCTGCAAATGGGAATGATTTCAGGTAAAAAAACTGTACTTGCTTGAGACTGGATTAAAAACCTGGGGTGTCACCGAGACATTCCATGTAATTGAAGACTGTGTATACACAGACCCCTTATAATCCCATTTTTATGCATTAACATACACATGCCATAACATAGATGACATTTAGGATATGTCTACACTGCAATGTAAACTCAGGGTTCGAACTCAGGCTCAAGCCTACCTTTGTCCTCCATCTACACACAAAATCTTGCTAATCCAGGGCCTGGACCCAGGGTCATAGGACCCCACAGGGGTGGTGGGTCCAAACCTGAGTCAAGTCAGACCCTGGGTCCAAGCCCTATTGCTCTGCAGTATATATGCAGTCTTAGTAGACTTGTGTACTGGGAGATCCCTAAAAGGATCCCACAATCCTATGAAACAACTCTCTTTTCCTTTGGACAATCAAGTTTGGTGGACAGTCAAGTTTTTCCACGCTGCACCACAAACCAAGGGCTAGAGCGGCCACATTTCAGGAGGGCGCTAGGAAGTCTGGGATATGGTTGGTTGGATCTGAGTCTGCATACTGCAGCATGGACATCGGAGCCCCGAGTCAGGCCTGGGTTAGAAAATTCCGAATCTACGGTTGACAATCAATGTAGATGCTCAAGACCTGGGTTCTCTAACCCAGGATCTATTGATTTGAGATCTATTAACCCTAGGCTTACATTATAGTATAGACATAGCCTTAGAGGCCCTTTTCATTGGTTTCACTCAGTAAAGCACTAATATGTAATTTTCAACTTCACAGTTCCTTTACACCAGTACTATTCATCTGATATGTATTTAAATCTACTAAGTAACAGAACGGCAAAAAGATATGAGTTTTGTTTATCTACAAACCTCTTTTTTTTTTTTTATTATTATTAAAGTGTGCGTTTTCCACTAAGGAGCATTACTAGATTGGAACTTTGCATTGTAATAAATTTGTCATGTAGAAAAACCCCTAATAACATTGTAGTGTAATAAAGAAAGCTTTTTATTTTGGGGCAGGCAAAATTTGACAATTTCCATGAATACCAATAGAAACAGCCAATTAGCTGCAACCAAGGAGTTAAATATTACAATTTAATTTCAAATAATTACATTAAGATTCAATCTAGTAAAAATAAGGAAATTAAAGACATTGAAAATTAAGTCTGTTGCTGTGATCTTAACTAATCCCACTGTGCCCAGACTCAACAGCCACATAGAACTATAAGATCACTGACTGGCCTGATATTCCCCATATGTGCTGCATTATCTGGACACATGGGTTGAGTTAAATATGCTGTGACAGCCTAACCTCATTACTTCATTACTTTTATTGTTTGAAGTCTCAACTTTAACATTACCTTAATGTGATTTTTAAATTTAATTTCCTTTCTTTTATGGTAAGTCTAAAGTGCAAAGAAAATGAAAGAAATTATTTCAACTAGTTATTGTTGCTCATTTGTATACGAAAGCCTAAGTGCCAAGCATTTTGCTTAAACTCATTCTGAAAAAAAACAAACAGAACAGGATTACAATGAAACGTTATTCCTAAATGTTATTCACTGAAGATGAATACCTGTTATTAGTGTAATATCAATACTATTCTTATTAGAAAATACCAGTTTTCTACAAACCGTTACAACAAAAATACCAGTCAAGGTGGATGGCCAACATGCTTGATAAAACCTGCCCTGTTATCAACAGAAATGGAAAACGCTTCTGTTCTTTCTTGTGTTTTGATGAATTATGAAATGTCTGCACTAGTCCCTGTTTGATTAAATAACAGGAACAAGTGGTTAAACCATTCTGGTATTTTACAAAAGACACCAGTACAATTCTGCCAAGTGTCATTAGAATTTCTCAAGACAACTGGGTAAACACTCAGCCTGTCTGTCAAAAAATAGCTTGCTGTAAGCCATGCTCCACAGCATTTGTAAACAAGAATATTAACATGCACAGAAAGTTGGCCAAGGAGCTCTGCTGGTTATTCAGTGAATTCTTTTAAAGATGAACCCTAAGCAGTTAGAATTCAGCATCACAAATATTGCAATAATATTAAATTACTGATATTTTGCAATTTTATGGTGCCTTCCACCTGAGGATCTCAAAGAAGAATTAGCAAATTAAGCCTCCCTATGCCCCTATAACATAAGGAAGTATTGCCTATGTTTTAGAGATGGGGAAACAGAACGGCTTGCCCAAGGTAAAACAGGAAGTCTGTGACAGAGCCAATGATAGAACTCAGAACTCCTGACTTCCAATCCTTCCTCCTGAAGTAAGGTGATGACATTTTTTTCAAGCAGCAGATGGTCAACCTGCTTTTTGATTTAGCAACTAAAATACCCCAGTTGAATGAGTCCCTCTAAAGTCTCAGATCCTGCTGAGAAAATATTCACAAACAATATACTACCTGAAAAGAAACAAATACCACTTTTTTCTCCTCACTTTAACATTCTGAAAATCGATAAATTAAGAAACATTTCTTTTCCTGATTAGACTGTGACCTTTTTTAAAGTTTGTAATTATAATTGGCCTAATACTAGAAGCAGACATTTTACTATAAAGTGATGCCATTTATGACACTAGCAATTTTCCATCCCTGTCACAGGGCTCTCATACTGACAGCCCTACAAATTAGCTCTTTGGCAGAAACCTCATATGTCAAATTTCAGTCTAGAGAAAATTTTTACATTCGAGTTACATAACTTGGAAAATAGGGAGTTATAATGAAAATGCTGACATATACTCAACTACAGTACATCAATATGAACTTTCCACTATGGTAGTCTTTTGTGATCTCAATAAACTATATTTAATAATTTACAATTAAAATAATCTTACCATGCCAAAGAAAAGTCCATGGTATAGTACACTTTTTGTAAATGCTAAAGAACCTAATTCGAAAGGTGACTTGAAAAAAAAAATGAAGGAAGAACTGACAAGCAAGTCATTTTGACTTTTCTATGTCTGCTCTGCTATTTAGCAATAAGGGGTCGGGGAGAAAAATCCAACTGGATAAAAACCACCTTTCAAGAAGTACAATAATCTTAACTAAAGACCATGTTACCATATTTTCATTCAGAAAAAAATTTCAGAGATCCTTGAAAGTACAAACATTCTGAACATATAACAGAAATGAGTTTTGTTCTCCGAATATACACACAGAACAAAATAGATGTCAGTGAAGGAATACAGTATATTGGGCTTGGTTATCCGCTGTTAAAAAACAGTTTTAGCTCCCCCTCATGTTTTCACAGTAGAGATATTTTAAGAGAAATAAACATAGCTGACACCTTTTTCATTAACATGCTTCTCTAAAATATGGAAAACATCTTACCTTCCACTTAGAGATGAAAAGAAGGGTACTACATGGATCCCCAGAGGGCCACCTTCCCCAGAAATCTCTACTGTTCTTGTCATATCACTAAGAAAGAGGGAGCAAAAACACACATGAAGCTGTACTAAGGAATACATGAGAAATATCTATAAAAAAACACATTAAGACAGACAAGAAAGGCAGTCAAAGGAATTTAAGTGCAGAACTCAATAATGTACATAAGAGATGTTGCAACTGGAAATGGCTGACATCTCTTTGATTTTGTGGATGAGAATTTATATATTTTGAATGAGAAAGGAAGACATTTCATTAGTTGTCTACATGGGGAAATTGACTGGAGCAGCTATTGCAGAATGAGCTATAGCTCCCCGTGTGAGCACTCTATTCTGGAATAAAAGTTGTTTTATTGCAGAATAATTGTTGTTCCAGAATAAAGTGACTTATTCCAGAACAGAATAGCCACATAGGGAACTACTGCAAAATAGCTTGACTGAAATAGCTATTTCGGTCAATTTCCCTATGCAGACAATCCCTAAATATGCATACCATATTTTAAGGATATCAAACCAATATGAAAAGCAGTCAACATGTAATTACAACAAAGTGGTCCATACACTATGCCCTCAATTACATGCATGCAACCCTACTGACTTAGAATGAGCACCTCTGAAGACACAATTTGGCCCACTTAAATGGGAAATATTTCCTTCCTGAAAATTTTTGAGATCCTCTATGATGGTTCAGATGTGAGATATAGTACCTTCCTGCTAGCTGCTGGAGATGACGCTAATATTTTTTTGCTGCTTGTTGGCTCAATGAGGGTCACATGAAACTCGCTTACACAATATCTTGAAACACATGGCTTCTCCATAGGCATTAAAATGTAAACTATACATCAGCAGTTGCTAATATGAAAAAAGAAGGCATTTGGATTGACATAAAATCTCAAGAAAAATAATCAGGTAGAAAAAATTTCCCACTCTCTTTGCCAGTCTGATTTCCATTTCCTTATGCCATCTAGAGTGTTGGAACCTCCAAAACCAGTGTTGAAAAGAGCAGAAGGGAAGGCTCACCATCTAACAAAAGTCTGCTGGATGTTTCTTCAATCTTAAACAGATCCAAATTTAATCAGACTACAAGAAGTTACATTAACCAATGGATGTTAATCCACTGTTTAGAGAAAGTGTGAAGCTAAACCAAGAGGGCCACTCCACATATTGCCAGGAGTGAGTCATCCACTTTCTTTGACCAGGAAGAGGACACTGATTGCAAGTGTGTGTTGACAGATTTAGGCATTTCTTTTCCCTTAATGAAGTAAATTTCCAGGTTAAGATTCTTTATTCAATTGCATAATGATGACTTGGAAGCAACTTGATTTAGAAATTAGGCTGGTTTGCTAAAGATAATGTGGAAATGAAAAGCTAATTAAAGTAGCCTTGTCACATGATTTTTGCAACTTTGTTTTTCAACACAGCTACTGCTAAAATATATTCTGTTCTAAAAAATGCATACTCTCTAAAAATGGAATGGAGAGCACTTAAAGAAATCAATCCCAAAATAAATGTCTTCTATGAAATACTTTATCTTGTGTGGAATTTTATTCCTATAGCAGTCACAAGCAATAGACTTTCAAAATCTCTGCTTTATTTTGCTACATATTTTCCTTCTTTTTCTTTACTTCACCTTCAAGATTTAGAAGGGGAGGGATGGATTGTCAAAGTATTAGTATAAATTCATGTAGAATTTCTAGGTAATTAATAGACTAAATTTAACTGATGAAATTGTTCAGAAAAATTAAGGTCTGATCAGAACTACTGTCAAAAATTCCGATAAAAATCTTGTGTGTGAGAAAAAGTTTGGTTAATTTTTTTCAGTCTTTCCTGCAATTCCTGCTTTCAGATAGAAGTGGAATCACCAAAAAGAAGACGACTACTTTTCTGATATTGTAGACCTGTTCAGAACCAAAGAATAGCAAGAAATTAAACTGCTGACTCCTACAGACCCAAAAAAGACAATCACAAGAAGTGAATTTGGGGTTTGATTTGTAGAGGGAAAATTAGCAAGAATTACAGCTTTCTCCAAGTAACTCCTATTTTGTTTAAGTTCTATGGGCTAGGAGTTGTCTTCCTATTCTTTCTGTGTATTATAGAGGAATATTGTAAGGATAATCATGACAGATAGGGTCTGTCACCTTAAATTAATATATTTACCGTTAAAAACTTAGGCTCAAAGCCAATGAAAACATACACGTTTATTTTTAAGTCGAACATAAAAACAAATGAACAGAAATACAAGGTTTTTAAAACAGGAGATGGACAACTTATATATTAATGTCCTCATTCCACAAACACTTAAGCATGTGCTTAACAGTTACACATGGGCAGAGTATTTGCAATATTGAGGCCTAAAACAGGAAGAGCACATTTCATATATGCACTAGGAAAAAATACTTTAAACTTTTTTTAAACCAAAAAATGATCACTAGTCCTTATCTAAATGAATTTTTACTCCCAGATAAACAGTTTGGTTAAGAGAAAGTTAAAGAGGAGAAGATATTGCTCTTTAGAACAACATTAATAGACTATTAGGACCAAATTCTGCTTTTCGTTAGACCTATGAAAATGCCACAGTGCAAGAACAGAAAATAGTTCTTTATAGGTTTAAAAATCCTGAAGAGCAGACACTCAAGACATTTGCAATTAAACTTTCAACATCTTCCCTATATACGTGTGCACCCTGTACCCACAGTCTGGAGTAGCTAGCTGTCACTTTAGTCTGTCCCTTAGAGCAGTGTTTTTCAAACGGTGGGTCGCGGTATGGGTCGCAGTACTGGGTCGCGGCATGTAAGGCATTGAGTTGCCTTGCTCTGGTCAGCACTGCTGACCAGGACGTTAAAAGTCCCGTCAGCGGTGCTGCCCAGCTAAGGCAGGCTAGTGCCTACCTGTTCTGACACCGCTCTGTGCCCCGGAAGCGGCCAGCAGCAGGTCCGGCTTCTAGACGGGGGGCCATGGGGCTCCCCCCACTGCCCCCGCCCCAAGCACCGACCAATGGGAGTTGGGGGCGGGGGCGGTGCCTGCGGATGAAAGTTGCGTGAAACCGCTTGCACATCTCTGCCTAGGTTGCCGTTGCTGGCCGCTTCCGGGGCGCAGCGCGGTCCATGGTGCCAGGACAGGCGGGAAGCCTGCCTCTGCACCCCGGCTGCGCCGCTGACCGTGAGCCGACGGAGGTAAGTGTGCACCCCCTACTCCACGCCCCAATCCCCTGTCCCAGCCCTGAGCCCCTACCCCAAACCCAGAACCCCTCCTGCACCCCAAACCCCTCATCCCCGACCCCACCCCAGAGCCTACACCACCTGCCTAGAGCCCCTACTGCCTCCTAACTCCCAGCCCAGAGCCCTCTCCCACATCCTGAACCCCTCATTCCCGGTCCGACCCCGCAGCCCTCACCCCCCAACCTTCTGCCCCTTCCCTGAGCCCCTTCCATACCCCAAACCCCCCATCCCCAGCTCTATTGGGTCACGGGCATCAACAATTTTCTTCAACAGGGTTCCCAGAAAAAAAGCTTGAAAACCACTGTCTTAGAGTATATGAATTACAACAGTGTACTCTTCCACACGTCCAGTCAGCCCACGGTGGATAGAAGGGATATTTGGGTACTTTAAAGACGGGTGCTTACAGCCTTCACATCCAGGCCCTTGATTGAAAAGGGATCACAATTTTGTCAACAAGCAGTATACAAGGTGATACTGAGGAGGGAAAAAAAGATGCAATAGATGCGTCTCTGCCCCTGCAGATTATGTCATATCACTTGGTGAATAACCGGAGGGAAGGTAGAGAGCAGTAGCTCAAAAGCTATTTCAGCAAAATTTCTGAGCTTATGATCACATGAATGAGCCCCAAATTTCAGGCCTCAGAAATTAATGAATTCCACAGGCACAGCTACATCTAGTAGACTGTGGTGCTCACAGCAATTACAAGCTCTGCTGACAATGTGCTCACAGGCCTTATAAATTCTTGACAGCTGAAGTTTAAAAATTCAGAGAGGAAAAAAGTTTCCCCACAAAACAAGAACCCAGGAGTGGATCCACAGGAGAGGGTCTTTATAGACTCTGTTCCACCCAGCGTACACAGAAGGGTGAAGGCTCGGAAAACGGGTAAGCAAGCACTACCATCTCAGTGGAGCCAGGGGGAACACACCCTCACAAAATGTTTGTGATGTTTGATTGTTTTGCCTTAACCATGTTTTAAACCCATCCTACATATCTTGAGCATTTTAATACATTTGTAATTGAAAGAGCAGGTCTGGCCCAGTAAGTCAGAACAGCAACAAAGGGGAACTTTGGTGCATGGAATGATGCATGGAATGTGCGTCTGCATGCTGCCTTTCTAGGTTCCATAGCACCGGGGGGGAGGGATAGCTCAGTGGTTTGAGCATTGGCCTGCTAAACCCAAGGTTGTGAGTTCAATCCTTGAGGGGGCTACTTAGGGGTCTGGGGCAAAATCAGTACTTGGTCTTGCTAGTGAAGGCAGATGGCTGGACTTGATGACCTTTCAGGGTCCCTTCCAGTTCTAGGAGATAGGTATATCTTCCATAGCACCAGTTAGGCCTATGACTGTCCTTATCAGACTTTCAACATAATTTCTACACAAAAAAAGTACAGATTATTTTGCATCTTATGAGAATTTAACAAGCACTTTTATTTGAATCAAACTTGCCAGCCTTTCAAGGTTCGCCCCTCACTAGCATATTTAGGATAATTTAAGTATGTGCTTGTGTGTCTCCAAGTCTATTGTGCTAAATCTACTACAGTGGTCTATATTAAAAAGAGAATATCTGCCTGATGATACCATACTGTGGTAGCTGAGACCACAGTCTGGCATACCATGGACCAAAGGTGCTATTATCATTTACTATTTAAATTCTTCATTGCTCAGTGTTTATTGATCTCTGCCAGATCCTTTACAGTCCATCACATTGGTCAGGATGGGCTTCCAAGCACACTGTTAAAAATGCTGATGAGTATGGTTTTAAAAAAAAAAAAAATGTAGTAGCATGCATGCTCAATAGTTCATTTGAAACACCAAGGG